GTGTTGGGGCAGGGCGCCTCCACCGCCACCTGGGTCGGTCATGAAGAAGTGGCCCCTGTCAGGGCAGTCCCCCCCGGCCGATGTTGGGCCCCTGGGGGCACTCGGCACCGATAGAGCCCTGCCCTGGGGCGGGGGGGGGGAGCACGAGGGACGTGGGAAGGTTGCTGTGCGTGGGATTGGTATGAGCTGGGGCCTGTCCACACAGTGAGAGCGGCCGCCGCTGGCTCCCGAAGGGCTCCAGGGGTGCTGTCCCAGCCCTTGGCCTCGCTGGAGATGCGGAGCAGGGTGTTGGGTCTCTCTCGGTGCAGAGGCCATGAAGATCAACCAGAACACGGTGCTGCAAGGACAGAGGGTGACCCTGGTGCCATACACTTCTGCACACGTGCCCCGGTACGTGGCTTGTGTCCTTCCCTGATACTCTTTGCACTGTCTGATTTCACTTCTATTTTTCAAGGGAGTGTGATATTTGGAAAGGGTGCTGGCTTGACAGCTGCAGGGCCCTCTTCCCCCTGGGAACCGTTCAGCGGAAAGAGCACTCATAGAAAGGCAACCGGTTTTGCCCTCTGTGCCCTGCAGCAGACATCCCTGGCAGGTCTGTCCTCTTCGCCAGGTCTGCTGACAAAGAGAACTTCATCTGTGCCACTGTGTACCCACGGAAGGGGAAATACCTGGCTGTGAGTGAACTGCCAACAGTTCTCTTGTTCATTGATGTCTTTCTCTAATGACAGTGGAAGAGCAAAACTTCAATGTGTAAAGCCAGATGGATGTTTGATAAATTGGAAACAGGCGTGCAGGCAGTTTGTAAAGTGCTGGCCTGGGCAGCTGCAGCCTCAGCACAAAGGTGCCAGTATTAGTCTTTTTGTCAGCATCCAGGAGATGCTGTATCAATCTCAGCTGGGATGAAATGCACCGGAACTCAATGCTCGGTACTTTTAAAAACATCAAGTTTGCATTGGGCACTCTTCAGACAAAGCCACAGGATGGACAAACTTGCTAAATTTCCATGGAGAACCCCGATTCCTGTGTTAGATAAGGGAGAGAGGCTTGTGGATACTTTTAAGTTGCCATGAATGCCAGGCTAGTGTTTCCAGAACCGGTTTATGACAGCCAGATCCTTAGAGCACTTGTGGAAATCGGACTGCGATGCTATAGCTCAGGCAGCGATCTGGTTCTGGGTCCCGTTGTCAGGTACCACGAGTGGATGCAGTCTGAGGAGCTGCAGCGCCTGACCGCCTCTGAACCACTCAGCCTGGAGCAGGAGTATGAGATGCAGCGCAGCTGGCAGGACGACGCAGACAGTGAGGATCTTAAACGTTTTCTAAGGGTGGGTGGGAGTGGTGAGCAGGTCCCTTCTGTCCTGTAAAGGACCCACAGTGGGCTGAGAGCGCCCGGTGAGTGGGCTCTACGTGCTGAAGCAGATGGGATGTGAGACCTTCTGCAACAGTAGCTTCGAACTGGCTTTCTGTTTATAGCTGGTATATGCTCAGGGAAGTAGAGAATGTCCAGGGCTTTTGGTGTCCTTTTTATGCAGTTTTTCAAAGATTACAGTGATTTACTTCCCACAGCATTATGTGCTGAGCTGCTGCTACACAGTCAACACTCCCCAGGTCTCATCGTCGTAAAAAGGTGGAAGGGGGTTGTATTTTTCCTTGAGAAATCGATTGACTTTATAATTACCTGGTTGAGGTGGGCTGACTGAATTGGCTCCCTGGCTCTCCTACAGGTAATGAATCACTGCCCATAAAAGCCTGGTAGAAATATGGTGAGCTGCAAAATACTGAGGCTGGCAAAGACCTCCATCTGGAATATTTGTCTTAGCTGGCATTAAAAGCCTTACTAAAAGCAAACGTAATACGGACTAGGTGAATCACTAGGTCTCGGTCTCTTGTGCAACAAACAATTCTTTGCCCAAACTTGCTGCAGAGTGAGACAAGACAGGGAGACCTCAGTCATGGGGTGAAAGTTTTCATGCTCCTTAAGTAGGCTGTTTCTAGTCTTGGTGTCTACGTCACCCTCACAATGTGTTTTTCAGAATATTTCTTATATTTCTCAGGATGGGAGCAGGCACACTTGGCATGGGAGGTCTAATTATTAGCTCTTCCTTGCTGTTAACATGTAGAAACTGTTGTTCCTCTGTCTATTGCATGCCTTTAATTTCATCCTTCAGTAATTTGTGAATAATTCTCAGCGTGCCCTGAAAATGCTGCTACGTTTTTGTTTTCCCCAGAGTGCACCTTCATTGTGTTGGACACGGAGCGGTGGTCCGGGCAGGCGTGTGCGGATGAGGACTGCATGGTGGGGGACGTGAATCTCTTCCTCACTGACACTGAGGATCCGACGTTGGGCGAGATTGAAATTATGATTGCAGGTCAAGTTCTGCTTCCTAGCTTGGGCCTCTGTCACCGTGGCTAAAGCCAGCTGCAGACAGATGTTACGTACAGCAGCTTTTTCTTCTCATTGCCTCACCATGGCTGTTCAGCCCTGATCAGCATCCTTTGCTGGTCTGGGTCACGGTCTCTTCCGAAAAGTACCCGGCATGGCTGATTTGTCTCTCGTAACTGGATGCTGACTTCTGTGGCTCTCTCTTTCAGAGCCCAGCTACCGAGGCAGAGGGTTTGGCAAGGAGGCAACTCTGATGATGATGTCCTATGGTAAGGGTGGCTCGGTGGAACGGAACGGGAGTGCAGTCGGGATGTGATCTAGAAGCACATAGTCCCAGTGATACAGACAGGGCAGTAAGGGATCCGTCTGCCCCGGAAACTGGAGTCCAGTGCCTTCGTAGATGTGGCAGCCGAGGCGGTAATAGAAATGCTTCTCTTTCTGGTTTCTTTTGCAGGAGTGAGAAACCTGGGGATCACCACGTTTGAGGCTAAGATTGGTCAGGAAAATGAAGCCAGTATCTGCATGTTCAAAAAGCTTCATTTTAAGGAGGTGCGGTAACAGCCCGTCTTCTACCCAGAGAACGTGAGCAGCGTTTGCCCTGTGACCGGGATTGAGCTGTTTTTCCTCTGTGTGGTACAGGTTGCTGTGAACAGCGTTTTCCAGGAGGTGACGCTGAGGCTGGATGTCAGCGACCAGGAGAGACGGTGGCTCCTGGAACAGACAGACCACGTGGAGGAGAAGAGCTACGTTGAACTGAAGCTGCCAGCTGGGGTGCTGGAGACCTGACAGACACATCCAGACACGGGCCTGGTTTCCAGGGCGGAGTTGGACGCTGTTGGGAGGTCTGGGTGTGGAGGACACTGGTGAGCCAACACTGCACTTGACTTTTCATCTGTCTCCTTCAGCTACTTTGTCATCTTGTCAACTTTGCACCTTGTTGCACCGGCCAGGAATACTGCCTGAAATTTGGACCTGGAGAACAGCCACTAATTCACAGGCTTGACTAGGAATGACTATAACCTTAACATGCTGTTCCAGCAGAGCCTGAAATCACCGGCAGTTAATTTGATTCCTGGTGCGACCAGTTTCTGGACAAGCAGCATCCCCCGTTCCTTCTTCCACTGCCCTTAGAGCAAGATTCATCAGCTCGACAGAGGTAGTCTCAGTGCGCTGGTAGCTCAGTCTGTTTTCTCTTGAATAAAAAAATCTGACAAAGATCTGAGGTTTCCCCAGAGCCATCTGGGAGCAGTGGGGCTCGGCTGCTTGCTTTGGCTGGTGACAGGGTGGTTAGAACTTGTAAAGGACAGCAGAGATTCTTTGAACCCTATTTTTGGGGGGGTGGCGGGTTGCAGGGGGACACTGCTGGGTCCTGGAAGTGAGAGGCCCGGGTGTGGGTGAGCACAACCAGAGGGCAAGTGCTGTTAACGTGATGAAAACTATTGGTACCAGCCGACCAAGAGTAGGGCAGAGCCTCGCCACGACGGCTGCGTAACAGGGGGAACTGGCAGCTGCGGGAGGCTGCTGAGACAAAACCTCTTGCTGAGTTTCGGGACCGTGCTTTGGCACGCTGCTGCCTGTTAAAGAGCGTCGACCTGGAAACCTCAGGCCATCAGTGAAGGGATATCGCACTTTGTTTTACCAGGCTGCTTTTATGAAAGCGAGGAGGAGGAGAACAGAACTGACAGGAGACACGGTAGCGATCCCTTTCTTCAAGGAGCTCAGGACTTTGCTGAGCCTGGAGGCTCCGTTCGCTGCTCTCCAGTAAGACGAATGAGAGGGGGGAAATATCTCTTACCGGGGGCAGATACCTTTAGGGCAGGAGTTAGCCAGCCGGCCTCCGCTGCGATATATGAGATCTGTTGCTGAAGGAGACGCACTTGCCTGGCTCTGCTGGACAGACTTTTTAATGCAGTTATTTAGCCTGACCTTTCCCGCCCCTCACAGCACGCTCTCCACAGCAGGGAAGCTTGCCGAGAGGAGGGGACAGAAGGTAAGGAGGATAACGGACGCTCCTGCGTGTTTTCCCACTGTAATAGCAGCTGTAATGGCTAATTCTAGACCAGAAATTATTTGTTGCAATTACGAAGTACCAGGTAATAGCTTTCAGATTTGCCCAGGGATGTTTTTATCAGAGATTGGTAGACTATGGAATTTTTAGTGTTGCTGTGCCTGTATTTTTAGGGCCTGGGGGTTTTAGTTTTCCAATTTTAGTTCATTTAAATACATCATTCCTGTGACTAATATTAAAACCAAGCGTGGGAACACTGTATCATGGTATTTTAAACAACAAGTATTTAGCGTGGATTTAGTTGTAGCGAAAGCTTTGTGCGGTAATAAAGTGAAGAACGGCTCTACTTCCAGCTGGGATTACCATGACGAGGGCTGCTAATCCTCGTGCTCTTCATCACCTGCTGCAGGCAGGAATGAATTCTGTCCCTCAGAACAAGATTTGCAGAACCTGCCAGGTAAACTGCTGGCTCTGCGCTCCTTCCTCGGAGCCTTTCATCCCTCCGCCAGAGGAGCGAGGTCGGGCTGGCAGGAGAGATGTAGCTGGGGTGGAATTTGCTCCCCTAAAAAGTGACCAAGGTGGGAGGAGTCCTTTCCTTCAACCTCTGCTGCCAGGGCCGAGCAGGGCACAGTGGAACCGTGCTGCCCTCCCCGGCCCCGCCGTGGCTCCCCGTGCCTGGCCGGTTGCTCTGGAGCTGGCGAGCGCCCCGCTTGGCATCCCCGGTCCCCCAGCAACGCCGGCACGCTCCCCTGCCTCCATGGGCAGCTGGGAAAAGCCTTCGCCCTGGCAACCCGAAACAAAGTTGGGTCTGTCCCGGAGCCACGGCCCTCCCCCAGGCTGGGGGGGGGGCCCCGGGGGGGGC